TGAGGTCTCACAACACATCCCGACCCCGGCTTTGTCAACCGGCAGGAAATGAGAGCGCTCTTGTGATCTAGCTGCCGACTCCTGGTGCCGAGTCAGAGTGATCCCGGCCTCTTTGAACTGGCGAGGCTGGTTCCTTGAAAGCCCTGTGCAGTCAAGAACGTCTGGACCTCAGATGAAGTGACTTGATGCGTCGCACCGCAGCGTTCTTGTGTTTGTGTCTTTGTTTTTGTGATGACTTCTCTCACTCGTGACGTCACTGGTGTCATTGCTATCCTTGAAGTGATTAAATGAAATTGAGCGGGAAGACTACTCAGGCTCTTGCCGCCTTCGCAGGAGATGCGACCCGACCCCAGTGTGAAAAGTTTTGCGATCAGTGTGTATGGGTCTGGCTGGTATCATTGTACTTCTTGCTGACATCGGTCGCACTGCTGTCACCATTCTTCTCGCTTTATTGCAACTCTTACTATCAGCTTGCGGCTTGCGCATGGTGTGTACTCCCGCTATGATTTGTGCGTTCATTTCAGTTTAGATTTCTTCCAGTCTTCTTGCTTGCGAAGGCGTTGGGAATCGCACTCGCACTTGTGCACGGGTCGCATTTGTATGCGTCTTCGACGTGGTCGTCGTACTCGCATTCGCTGTGATAGGTGGTGCTCGTCTTCGTCTTCTTCGTCACCGCCGACTCCGTATTCGTATTCATAACGACGCACTACAATTCGCGCTCATGCTCAGAATCATATTCGTTGTCGTCGCTGCCGTTGTGGCAGTAGCTCTTGCCGCAGTCGTTGTGGTTGCTGTTGTTGCTGCTGCAGCTGCTTGGTGGTTGTAGTTGTATTCTTGCTTCTTCTCTCCTCTCCTTACCAACGAAAGCCGTGGTGGTTATGACTGTCGGAGTTCTGAGTCTGGCGTGCAAGCCTTGGTCTGCTAGGGAAGAGTGGCAGTACAGGACAGATCAGTGTGGTCCCCAGGCCCTTGCTGCTTTGCTGTCTGGCATGCCGATAGTGACTGTGCTTTTCACGGGAAGAATCGCTGCGGTGAAATGGATAGCATCAGAAGCAGTGAACATCTGATCACAGTCTAAAAAGGGAAGGATGCTTCAACCTCGCCCGCGCCTTTTGCTTCCCTGGCCAATGGAGACTTGAGCCAATCTCAGTTCAAGGAAGTCAGCATCCACTCAGCGGGTTTGAATTTGGCTGGATGTCGTACAGCGTGTCATGCATAAACTCGTAGACTATCCGGATATCAAGACCCAGATCAGATGTAGCATTGTATCTGCTGATATGCAGTCGGTCTGCGGGGCTTCGGCACAGCCTCACTCATGGCTTCCCAGAGGACCACAAGAAAGCTTAAGCTGACATTTACGATGTCGTTATGAAGGGCTTTTCTTTCAATTTTCCAGGTGCTCCAATAAGAAGCTTGGACTGCAGCACTTCTAGAAGTTTGAATACGTGGGTTTGAAGAAAGTGTGTTGCACACTTGCATCCCGTCACCCTTGAGGGCTGACTTATTAGCCCAAGGATCGTAGGTGAGCAAGTAAGATCTTGCTTGACCCTTCACAACTTAGAGATGGTATGGGTTTCAGGAAGCTGACGGTGCCTCAAAACCTCGTGGCCAGCGGGCTGGCAGTGGTTGGCGCCACCATCGTGACTCATCCTATAGACGTGGTGAAGGTGCAGCTACAGCTCTCGCTCAAGGATGCCCAGGCGGACTCCTTCAGCATCCGGCGCTTTGTGAGCTTTTGGGCAAAGTTCCAAAATCAAGTTGGGGCCCGAGGCCGGCAACCGATCAAGCTGGGTCAAGCTACTGAATCTTGTACTTACTTCCCGAGCCAAACTTTTCATGTACTCGGCACCAAAACTTTACAGAAGCAAAGTCAGTGGACAGCCACATAGACCACGACCAAACTCGGACCTGGAGTGAGCCTTGAGGGCCCTGAGGCATGGCAAGCCTTTAGCCTGGTCCTGGATGCTTGAACGTTGGACAAGAGTGCAATCCTTTCTTTGTTTCGAGAAATGGAAACCTCGCCGGGCTTCACGTCCATGAAATACTCGATCAGCGTTTTTCTACTCCGACTTTTGATGCCGGCACAAGGACTGAACACGATAGCCACCCCAAATGCAACAGCAAGATCAGTAGGTCGTAAATGCAGTCTTGATACAAGAAGAAAAGGGCGATCTTGAGAGGCCTCTTCTCTGGCGTACAGGCTGCCGGCCTGCGGGCTGCCACTTACGGCTCCGTGCGGATTGGACTCTGCGAGCCGCTGCAAGCACAGCTGGGAAATAAGAGCGCAGGCGCCTTGGCTGCTGGAGTGCTGGCCACGGTGGTGGGAAACCCCTTTGAAGTCCTGAAAGTGCGGCTTCAAGCGCGGCCGGGGGCTATGGGAGAGCTGCAGCTCCTCCGAAGTATGCTTCAGGAGGAGACTCGGCCAAGCATGTTGTCAGCAAGCTCGCACGGCTTGGCAAAGCGGCATTCCGGTGAATACTGTACTGTACCTGCTTCAGGAAGGCGTTGCGGCCTTTGGCAGGGGATTTGGCTGGGCAGCTACGCGATCTGCACTGCTGACTGCCAGCCAAGTTGTTCCATATGTAGCTCGCTAGCAAGTTCATGTGCGTGCTCACAAATTGGCATGCATTTGAGCTCCCAGGCCTCGGCAAAATCTGCCTTGCAAAAATCTGGCGTCCCGGAAGGACCCCCAAATCGTCTGCAGATCTTGTTTAGCTTGCCGAAATGAACCCCAGAGGAGGGCTGCTTCACGTTCTTGCCAGCCTTGCTGCGGGAGTTGTCTCAACAACCGTGCCCTAGCCGCAGATAGTTGCAGATGAAGATGCCTATCAGTTGAGGGAAGCGCAGCCGCCTCCAGGTGACGGCGCCCGTTGACGTCTTAAAGACCAAGGCAGAGTGTTGTAAAACATGCCGCACAGTGACAGGATGTATCGTTCGCGAGCAGGTCATGAGCTCACACGATAGAGCTTCGCTTGACATCGCAAAGCTACTCAAGCAGCAGGGACCTTTTGTCTTCTTCAAGGCACGTACCACTCCTGGAGATCGACCGCAATGTACATCATGTAGATCATGTAGCTTGGCTTGCGAGAAGATCCCCGTAGCATTTGCGTCCAGGGGTGGCTGGCCAACTACGTGCGAATTGGCCCACAGACGCTCTTCATCTTTGTGCCCCGGTCAAGACTATAGGCTACTTATGTTTGACTCTCCTTGCATCTGTTGTTTAGGCAACAAATCTAATCTGACACCTGCCCAGGTCTTTTTCGAAAAGTCTCGATTGCTTGTCGAACGTTGCTCAACCTGACCTTGTCGTCGCCTCTTTTCCAGCCTGCTGACAGAGTCAGCAGTGCCGGCGACCGTAAGCCCCACTGTCCACGTGATTGGAGTGTGAGCTGAATTGCTGTAAGATTTGTTTGACCAGCTGGGGGTCGTGAGAAAAAAGGCCTTAGCAGCACTACTATTTACCTGGCATGTGCTTGCCGTGGCAGCTTTGTACTGAGGTCACATGCCTGGCACATTAGCGTGCACTTTGCAGCCAAGGATGATCTGTGCTGTTTGACTTTGCAGTTGGACAGAACATGCCTGAGCATTTCCAGGACGCAGCCATACTCGCAGCTCTCCGTCGCTGCCCAACTTTCGCTTGAAGGCATATTCTTCTGGGATAACTCAGAACTGGCTTAGGTGACCACTCCGGCAAATGTCGGGAACTCTTGTTTCTCTGTAGCCTGCCGCTTTGCTTGGCTTAACTTCTCTGATTTCTGAGTCTTTGGTGCTTCAGCGAACGCTATCTGCACCATCCATACCGAGAGGGGTTTGGGACTCAGATGGGAGCACAAGCTCAGGTTGCTCGACCATGTATTGGAAGTGCTAGCAGCGCTGCTTCGCCAGGAGCCCCTCCCGGAACTCCGGAAGATCAACAATCCGAGATGGCGACGGTGTGGACCCAAGAAGGCTTGCCTGTGAGTCTTTGCCTCCATGGCTAGGCCAAAGAGCAGCTCTGACGTCACGCGCTACGCGGAGGCGTCAGTTCCCTACGGCAGTTCCAACAACCGATTCTCTTGCTGGCCCACCGCGTGATTGAAATGCCAAGGTTTTACAACATGAATGGCTGCAGCCCCTTCGCCTTGGCTGCCGGAAAATGAGGTAGCGCAGTACTTTCCCCGCATCAAATTCCCCTCATTCTATCTTGAGGCAAGCCATAGGTTGCCGAGGCCACACACTCCACATGAGCCAACCCCTAATCTGCAATTCTGCCCTTGGTCCTCGGCTACTGAATCACATGCCGGTGATGGGAGGTGCCTGTGCGGTGAGCCATAGGGACCAGAAGTGCGAGGATCTCCACGCTTGCATAGCAGCAGCACGACAATCGTGTGAATCGCTGCAAAGCAGAGCGATCAGGTTTTTGTATTCCGTTTTGCCCTCTGGGTTTAGCTTCATGCCTTTGCATGCAGACTGCTGGGTAGTTGCAAACATGTCTAGAAGCTTGGTGATCATGCAGCCCTTGCAGATCTGTCGCAGCATCTCCTGTATCTCAATTCAGTCTGGCAGTGAGCCAACTGATGGGAATTTTCAGCCACATCCATCGTGGCATTATCGTGAAGACGCGAAGCGCCTTTCACTGCCCATGTCGAATGTCATGGGGCAGGGCTCCAGTCCAAAGCCTTCGGACACCTCTGTGGCAAGGAGGAACACCGGCCCAAATGAAGATGTCATTGCAGCAAGCTTTGGTCTGGTGTCTCACCAGAGCAGCTGGCGAAAGCCACGAGTGCCGACCACGGTGAATAAACGCAGCATGAACGATTTAGAGCATTACCTGGGGATATGCCACCAAGGGTGTGTTCTCTACATGTTTTCGGTCCATAGAAAAAACAACAGCGGCCGCCCCCACCCCCCAAATTTGTGTGATTGGTGTGATGGATGTCATGACATGTCTTGATCAACCTTGTATCATGTTGACCTTCTGCAGCCACCGCAGAAAGCTTGAGGTAGGCGAGCTGTAAAGGATGCCAGCAAGGTTCCTTGAAGCTTTGCTGCTGTTTTCTTTCTGTGACCCTCCAGCTAAGCAGGTCAACGTCTTCGACTTCGACTTCAGAGATGTCCCGGTTGCCGGAACAAAGACGGGACATCCTGACAGCCTTGGGCTTGTCTGACTCTGAGGATGAGCTGCCGATTCATGGTGCGCCAGACCTGTCCAATGCCGAGCACAACCACATCAGCACTCGACAGATTGCACCTTGGCGGGGTTCAGTATGGAAGTTGACTGGCTTGGTTCAGTTGGTTTGCAGGCTTTAACATGTGATCAGCAAGTTCCCTGCAGGTCAGTAACGCAGCACCGCAGACGGGAGCTTCTGTCGCGTCCAGCGTAAGTGCTGCAGAGGAAGTTGCGAGCCAACGTTCACTTCAGCAGCTAAATGCCCTTCTCCCCGAGCTTGACGGCACGGACGCGGACCTGACGCTTGTGACGCTTGGTCCTCACAGTGCGGAGGCCTCAGAGTGCCCACCCGCCTCAGCCAGCCAGGAATGCCAAACAAGTGCAGGGCGCCGCCAGCCATGTGATGCCCCAGCTGCAGAAGCTGCGCGATACAGCGTGGAAGAAGAGCCAGAGGTGGAGCGAATTGAGGATCCGGTGGACGAGATCCAAGCTGGAAGATTTCAGTCACAAGCGAAAATATGCACGGAGAGTGGTTCCAGCAGCGGTGAAGTGAGAGACGATGCAGCTCTGGAGCCCGAACCTCAAGATCAAATGTAGAAACACATGTGCCCAGACGTTACTCTGTCAGGAGTCCTTGCCTTTGGCTGGACCAGGAGATGCTGGAACCTCTGCTGAACATGGAGGCGGATGCGCAAGTTCTTCGCGAATTGATGGCCATTCTGGTGGAACGAAAACCGTCACGAGCCACGCGCGAATCACGAAGCACTTATCAGGGACTAACACACCTGTATTACAAAGTATGCTGCCCAAATCAAGAACTACGCCACCCAAGTCATGAACTACAGTGCCGGTAACATGGACTGCAATCCTCATCGCCTCACAATTCAATTGAATTGACATTTTGGTACAGGGAAACTGGAGAAGAACTGTTAAAACTGATAATAAGGAGTGACCAGACCGAGTCCAAGAACTTTGCTTAAGACTTAAAACCGCCTCCATCGACTTGCAACTGAAAAGGCGCTGTGAGAACAGACATTTGTTAAAGTCCTCCCCCTCTTCCAAGCCAGATGACAGTGACAGTGAGAAACCCTACAGACTTGACTTCCGTTAAGAATCNNCCCCCCCCCCCCCCCCTTGGCAATGCGAAGCAGTCACACAGACAATTGGTACAAACATTTGTGAAAACCATCCCACCTTCTCATTACAGTCTTGAAGCCGCCCTCTCGCCTCATTGCGAAAGTGACGCTGACAAACTGTAGAACTATTTGTGGACATCATCTCTTCTCGCATTGCAACAGGCCTGACGCAAACAATCTGTAGAGACATTTGTTAAAATCCACCCTCTTCTCCTTGCGAAAAAGTGACATGTGGAGACAATTGTTAAACCATCCCCTTTCCTCCTCGTAGAAAAAGGAACAAGACAGAGAAGGACCGTAGAGACATTTTTTCAAATCACTCCCCCCGAATTGCAGTAAAATTGACGCAACAAAAGTACAGCGGCATTTGTTGGCACCACCTCCTCTTCTCCTCAGACAATTTGTAGAGACATTTGTTAAAACTTAAAGACATTTGTTAACATGACCCCAACCTTCCTTGGCGTTGCAAAGAACAAATTTGGTTCAGGATTCCGGCGTAAAGTGGGACCTATTTTGGTGCCTTGCGCTCTCTTCAGCTCTCAGCTGCGCAAGTCGCGTGGTCGCGTGAGGTGGAGCCACTGGAGCCACGAAGTGAGTACATTCCCAGAGCCGTCTTGGAGCGCGCCGTCCGGATGCCAAGCTTCCCTTGATTCCAGGATGTTCCAGAATTGTTTGTGTTCAGTAAAGGTCTGGGAACTCAGCCGTCAGCACGAAGAGCTTCTCCGCATTGCGGACCAGCAGGCCCTCTTCCCTCCAGAGCGGACAGATGTTCTTTTTGTTTGGACTCCGCGGTTGAGCGCGCGCCTGTGATGAATCGGGTGATCTTTGTCCCGTGAATTTTCGGCTCTCAATAGCCTCATGGTAGGCAGCGTGAGCTGCTAGCTGAGAGCGATGGGCCAGGCTGGCAGCGTTAAGGAAACGTTTCACGGGTGGATTTGTGGCAGTGGCATCGAAGACGGGTGCCTTGACTCAAAGACGATTCCAGAAAAGCTGTAATAGATGGATCAGCGAACGTCAAGACGTGGCCGTGGGAGTTTTTGCTTCCGTTCTGGTTACAGACCCAAGGTCCGGCGTTGGTCGCCGTTTACCGGCTGCATCTGCAAGCCGCTCACGGCCGATGGAGAGGGCAAGCCTTCGTGCGACCTTCCGGCTGCGATGCGCTGAGCGCATCGCACCCAGCGAGCTTAGCAAGGCGCGAGACGCAGGCATCAAGACTTTTGCTAAGAGATTTGCTTTGCTGTGAGTGATGACAGGACTGCCCCGTAAAACTGGTGGTCTTCGACTTTGATGAGACCCTGACCCTGGCGACCTTCATGACCGGCAACTGTGAGTACGCAGATGATGAGGCCATCTTTAATGCGGTTTTCCACAACCTGTTAGACTTGTATTGCTAAAAGGTTTAGTGTGACTAAAGAGTGACACCACTCACGCACCGGTTTTTGGCTGCAGCATCAGGAGAAGGACATCGCCAGAGTGATAAACTTTGAGACCCCCTGGGTCGAGGGCTCCCGGATTGTCAAGCTTCAAAAAATGCTGGGGGCGATCAAGGAAGGCACGGATGGACGGCGTCGATTTCTGACGGTCCTCACGAACAACGGGAAGGGCGTGCAGGCAGTGATCAACATGCTCAAGATTGCTGGTCTGGATTCGTATTTCAGTGCTGTCTGGACCATGCCTTGGCGGCAGTACATGCCGAATGGGGCCTACAAGGACCAGAAGGGCCAGTGGAATCTTTTTGATCCCCCGTCAGACAAGGTGCGGAATCACAAGGCGGATGTCCTCCTCCATGTGACGAAGTATCCAGATGCGTGGTTCCCACAGATCGGCCAGGACAGTAGCTTCTCCGCCATTGAGAGTCTGCACATGGGAAACATTGTGCTGGTGGACGACCAGCGGGCCAACTTTCAGAGCCAGTTTGGTGCCAGCATCCTGCGTTATTGCAAGGTGGCACGATATGATGCAGACCTCTACTACGACATGCGCATGGTCAAGAACATGGGGGGCATCGGAGCCCACCATGACGCGGACTATGACACGCTGAAACGATTTGTGGAGGACCCCTGGATGTGCAAGGAGACCCTCCAAATTCGTTGCCAAGAGCGGGACTTCCGGGGCTGGGAGAGTCAGCCGCCAGTGAAGCTTGTCGTGTTTGACTTCGACGAGACGCTGACGCTGGCCACCTTCATGCCCCAAAGCAAGGCCATTGCCACCAAGGTCGGCTGGACTCCAGCAGAAGCGGCTTTCAAGGACTGGAGTCAAGAAGATCTTGTGAAGTACAACTTCGAGTCCCCATGGGTGGAGGGAAGCAGAGTACAGAAGCTCAAGTCTATGCTCGAAGACATTGAGAAGGAACAGCGGGTCCTTGCCATCCTAACCCAAAATGCGAGTGGTGTGGTTGCTGTTCTGAACCTGCTGAAGTTAGCCAATTTGGCCGAGCATTTCAGTGCGATTTGGTCCATGTCGCCAGCCCAGTCTGGCGAGTGTGATGGTGCCTTTTGGGAGAGCGGCCGGTGGCATCTCTTCCAGACGCCCGGCTCGCAACTGCATAGGCACAAGGCAGATGTGCTGACGCATGTTGCGGAGCACCCCTTGCGATGGTTCCCGCAGATGGGAGGAGGTGACAGTCCTGTGGCTCGAGCCTTGAGTAATCTCAGGCTTGAGAATGTTGTCCTGGTGGATGACGAGCGGGCGAACTTCCGCAGCGAGGCCAGCCTGGCTGCCGCCATGGTGCTGCGGTACTGCAAAGTAGCTCGTTACGACGAGACGTACCGCGACTGTGGTCTGCTGGATCAAATGGGTGGCATAGGGGCGCATAGTGATGGCGACTATGACGAGCTCCGGACCTTTCTCCGACAGCCATGGGACTATCCGTATCCGACACGTGCAGAGATGTCCCCCATGAAGAAGAATGCCTCCAGTGGCATCAGCTTCTCCCAGGATGGGCAAGCAGAAAGTGGCAAGGCGAAGATCGAGTTGGTGCGGTGCAATGAGGATGAGCCCGAGGCCACACAGAAGGCACCACGCCACAGGATCGGCTTTTGAGCTTTGCGTAGATTTTTTTGTCGGCCGGCTGGCCTTGAAACAGTGGGACTTCAGCCTAGCGAAAATCCGCTGCAGTTCCGCTACCATCAGTGCCTTCCAGCTGCCACGAAGTGGAAGCCAGCATTTCAGAGGAAGCAAGGCGGTACGTAACAGCAGGCGTGGAGCACGCTATGTAGCCTGATCCTTTCACCCAATTAATGTTCAAAGAAGTGCGAATTTGGTGAACTACGTACCAAATCGCAGTTGCATCAAGAAAAGTGAGATGATGCTCTACGAATGCACAAGCTAAATGAAAAAGACTCAGTGCACTTGGTGCAGGCCAGACACCCTGTGTTCGTAAAGTCAGTCATCCTGTCTCGCTGGCTGATGTGCGGATCAAGGTCTACACAAGGCCTCAACTGATGGTCAATTGGTTTTCTCCAAATCTTCAGAGCAGAGGCACATACGCATTGAGCTTGCTGACTTACAGAACCGTGACGGCAATAGTTGTAAAGATGCAGATAACATTAGACAATGCTTGGCTTTCAAAGGACTTTTAGCCTTCACGTAGCACAAGTGGGGTGATGCGAGAACTCACAGTCAAGCAGTACTGAAAGCTGTGTTGCTAAAGTTGGCAAGAGCAGTGGAATGGAGATCATCTTGTTTGCACCTTAGACCTCTCAGAGCCACTGCAGTGACTGTGCGCCTGGTGCTGGCAGAAGCTACCTGGCAAGGGAAGCGTAACCGCAAGGTCTCCGCTGCGGATTCTGGTGCCCATCTTTCCTGAGCGCCAACCATTCGGGCCTCTTGCAGTGGAGGTGCCCCGTGCAAAATGCCGCAGCAGGAGAGTTTCCTTGTCTGTCCGCGCAATCTGCGAAATGCAGGAGATTGCAGCCTCCCTCTTCGTGTCTACGTTGATATGTTCCTCTGCAGGCTACTTTTTGACGAGGCCATCTCATTGAGCAATAGTCACAGTAAAAATCGTCGTTAATAATGATAACGCTAATTGTCAGTATTGATTAGGATCCCCTTTCTACACCCAATTTACTCCTCCAATGGACTCTTTTTCTCTTCTCACGCTACGCTCGATGCTTAACGAAAAGGCCTAACAGCAGACAGACATGATCATCCTCGCGCCAGGGGCCGTGCTAGCCACCTTCTCACAGTTCTCACAGAGGGCTCTTTCACGCCCCACTAAGCAAGACGTCACANNCACACTCCCCCTTTGGTGCAACCAAGCATTCGGCACAAGGATCCGTTCTGTCGCCAGATATCACTCGGGTGGCTCCTCCCTTTAAGGGATTACTACACCTTCGGGTCGAACAAGTTAGGATCGCTGTTAGGAACAAGAAAAGAGCCTTTGGGCTCAAGGCCTTTTGACGCAAAAATGGATGTAACTGTCAGAGAGGGATTTTTGTAAGACTCCTTAAGGAAGCCCCTAAAGAATAGCTCTACTGGCTACCCAATGAGACTAGAAAATAGAAGCCTATATTTAAACACCCAGAGCAACCTCTAGGACTTAGCAGTGGATCCCTCAATGATCTTGTCAATCTACTTCCTCTACGCCATTCCTTCTTGGAGGTGGGGGCTTGTAAGGTGGGTTCCTAGGAGGTGGCTTAGGCGGTACCACCCCTGCAGCTTGATTAGGAGCACTTGCCAGCATGGGAGGTGGACACTTTGCTGGCCTGAATTTAGCCGGCGCTGGCTTAGGAACGATGACTGGTGGGACTGTAGGGTTGTATGACATGTACAGCA